GTGGCCCCGTCCTGACTCAGCGCCCGCAAACGGGATCGGCTCCGTGAAAGGCGGGCCGGTAGCCCCGATCCGTACAGGTTTGCCGGGCAGCGGGAGTCAGGCGCCCTCTCGGGCTGCAGGTCTGGAGCTCGGTGCCTGCTTTCGGATCCGCGCTCCCCTTCAGGCGCGCACAGGGGGCCTGTTTTGCTTGGCCGAGATGACGATCCGTTGCCACGTATCTCAGAGCGTGTGGCTGGCTCTTCATCCTGCGCTCAGACTACAGGAACCACTTCAGGGGCTCAGTTCCTGCGGTTTAGGTCTTGCAACTGTCCCCTTGCCTGCTCCGCGAGACAGAAGATCGGGCACGGGCATGTAAGACCCCGTGCTCTAAACAGCCGCCTTCAAGGGCTCTCCCTGGCCAAGTTCTGCCTCCTATCATCACCGCACAAAGCAGAGCCCTCTCTATTTATGTGTATTTCCCCACCCCCAGAGGAAAGATTTAAGCCAGACTTGGTCCTTTTGTTTCGGTGGCCACAGTGTGTTTTCTGTAGGGCATCAAGCAAGGGGTGGTGGACCTGCTCCAGGGTTAGGGGAGATACTGCTAATGGTGCATCCCTTCCTCCCAGTCCTTCGCTGCCTGAATGGACTCTGGAGCAATCCTGAAAGAACTGCGGGAAGATGAGGGTATTTAATGTGGAGACACAGGGAGAAGGAGCCCCGCAGCTCTGGCCGACGGCAGTTTCCTTTTTTCCCCAATGAGTTGACCAGTTTCCTCACAAAACGCATGGTGTTTTTTATCCCTATTTTCCCTGCGCAAGAAACGTTTTAGGATGCTCTGGTTTTCACTAGCCCCAGTTGCTCACTGCTTCCTGTTATCCGCACCGTGCAGTATTCCTGTAAGCAACTCAGCAAGGCCTTCATCTGTAAACTCATGCTGGTCGGCGTTAAAAAGAAAACACTGCTAATTCAACTGAGTGAATTTACAGTCTGATTGTGGATAACACAGCCCCCACTTTTCCCCTGACCGCATCAGAGATCCCCAACAGCCCAGGACATTGGAGGAAAACTGCCTTTCCTCAGGAATACTAGAACGATGACCGCAGAGAGCGATTGTCTGGGGCCGTCCTAGCAGATTTAGCCCCGGGCGTAACTCAGGGCAGGCACCGGGGCGCTGCCGGGGCTGGGGAGGGAGGTT